GGACAGTTCCAGAATATAGCATTAGCAATGGCTGTGGTGATGGTGGTAATAATATCAAGGTAAAAGAGGAAGTAGTATTTCAAGGTGGAGGAGGAGAGGAGTGGAAGTTAGGGAAAAGAGAAGCTAGTGTGTTGAGGTACAAAGAGAAGAGGCAGAACTGGCTTTTCTTCAAAGGTATCCGTTATGAAGTTCGAAAGATCAACGCAGAGAAGCGTCCTCGTATGAAGGTAAATAAACATTATATATATATGTAATTAATCTATCATGTTTAAATGTTTTAGCTATTGCAAATGATTTTGATAGTGTTTTTCTTTTCAATATCATTTCTTCACTTTTTTGCAGGGGCAATTTGTGAAGAGAAGTTGAAAAATTATAAAATGTGACATGTTAAATTGTAGTCATCATAAAGATTAAAGAGCATGTTCTTTTGTGTGCATCTTTTTCTTCTTCTTTTTTTTGGTGGTTTTTTTCAGGTTGCTTGTTACATTGTAAAGGAAGTGATAAATGGCATGGCAAGCCCAAAAAAAAACATTGCCCTCAAGAAAAAAATTAAAATTGTAGAGGTATTGTAAAATTCTGCAGAATAAACCAAAAGAATAATACATGCATTAGATCAGACAGTTTGAGTTAATATTACCTATCGATGCATTTTTAGTCTATATTGGTTTGTAGAGGTGAATGTTGTTGGCCAGGCAGGTCGACCCAAGACCATTACTGGTTTCCAGACCCACTCAACACCGGTTCTTCTGGCTGCTGGTGATAGAGCGGAGCTTGCTACTAAGAAGTACTACATTCTATCCCTTGCTAGTGTAGAATTTATTCAAGACTGAAGCCTAGAGAAACAACCAAATCTCATGAGAACGTGGACATAACAAATCACATATTGCAACATAATGCACGTACCGTATTGTTCTATGTGTGAGATACTAAGCATATATTATGACCTGAATGCATTTATTAGCATTTGTTGTAATACTAATGCCATCAAACTTGCTAGCTGGTTTATGTGAACACGACAATAGTCCTTTTCATTAACAGTCATTAGTGTGTCGTAATGCAGGTTGCAGTAGTAGTCAAGTGTATTTTAGATGTAAACGGATCATAGGCTTTCAATGTGATCATGGGGCCTTCCACCTCCTCTAAGAAATTTTTTTCGTAATTCGATGAAATTTCTCATTTAGACCAACCATTTATTAGGCATTTTTGTCATTTATGTTTTGGTAAATATAAAGATGGTGCAAAAATTTCACAATAGGACCAGCAAGAATTGTTATTCTCTGAGTTGATATATATCATGTTTGTCTCTGCAAAAGGCTTTTTAGTGTTTGTCTCTGTCATTTCCTTTCTTTACAATTGCCTTTCATGTCTTTTAGATCTATTTTTAGTGAGTAATATGCTTTAGCCTGTAGGAATATACTTGTTCTCCTCAAAGATGATGTTATATCAGACTATACATCGTAGGACCATAAACATGAAGAATCACAAGGCCCGTTTGACAAAGCCTGCTTGTTTGGCTAGTTGGAAATTGACATCACTGAGAGAAAATCAAGTAAGGCAATACTATAATGTACCAATAGAATTTATATACAAATATTTAATATAGAATAATATATTTTATTTATATCTATTCATTCGAAGTCAAAAAGCTGGTTGGTGTTAACAGAAAATTATAGGCAAATTAAAAACAAATAAATAAAGTGAAGAGACAAGAGATTATTGCTAGAACAAATACTCAGTCATAACCGATTAACATATTGATGGTGAAGTTGAAAGTCACCATCCCAAAAGAAGAAATATGGAAGGGGGTTTTGTTACAAGCCATCCATTTCATCTTGAAATTGAGAAGGCAAAGAAGATGCTAAAGGTAAAAAACTGAGATGTATCCTACAAAAAAAAAAAATAAATAAATAATTAAATCACTTTGTTAACCTGATTGTTTGGCACTAAGTGCTTGAATGAACAAACACTTACTAATGAAATTGAAAAGCTAGTAGATGCAATTATTGAACAATGAACAAGCACTGATTAGCAATACAAATGGTAAATTATTGTTTGTAATAGACTTTGAAAGATTTGATTATAATAAATTAAAATCTTACAAATTATTCATGAAGACGTGTCATGAATTTCCCAGCCAAATTCATGGAATTTAGACCTATTTAAGGCCATTGCATATTTTGCAGTTGCTCTATGACCATTACCTAAACTAAAATTATTTTTCGTGGATTGCAATTCTATTTGATAACAGACATGTTCTCACATAGCTTGGCCCCTCAAAGATTTGTAATGAAAGTAAATAAACTTGTAAATGGGCAAGATAACTATTTGAATATGCTGGCTCTATTTTGGTTCATCACTTCTCTGATGATCATTCATATCAAAATGAGTTTTTTTTTTTTTTTGGGTTCATTTGCCTCGAACTTCTTTGAGATAATGAGAATTAAGTTATAGCCCCATTTCATACAAAAAAAGATTTTGTGGCAATGTTTAAATAAATAATTTGATTATTGTTATGTGACTATAAATAACCAGATGTGCTTCTAATTTTTTAATATTTATTTTGGTTGTCATGATTACTCCTTACAATTCACATTGTGAAATTTTTGCAATCATGGGTGCAATTGCTGACAATAGAGTGTGAGCCCTGTGAAGCATCTTGAATCATCCCGTTTTATTACCATCACAAAATAACAGGAAGATATAATCAATTGGAGTGAGCCCTCCACACCGCACACATCTCTTTTATTGTCTCGGCAATTATTTTTGGTAGTTACTGTCATTTTCCTCACTGTAAGATTAGATTTGATTAGAGGTAGAGAGGTGTCTTTGTTCACTTTTTGATTCTGTGCTTATTCTCTGTCCCTACCATTAGCAATTTGGGCCCGCCCTTAGACATATATGGCTGGCAGTATGCGGTGGTTGTGCGGTAGGGGCCTGGTTTACCACTAGCCTATGTCGCCCCCACTTGCAATACTTGTTTTTTATGCAAACAAAATACTATCATTGGTTGAATTGTAGAAGATAAATTGATCATTGGTTGTGTATGAAATTTCATTAGATTTTGATGTTTGATTCACTCCATGGAAAAACCTGTTTGCATTATGTTGCTTTCTATGGCCATCTAGATTGCCTACAAGCTATTCTTTCTGCTACCCTTTCCACCTCTGTTGCACATTCCTGGTGACCCTCTCTCTCTCTCTCTGCACACACACACACTCATATGTGCTTGTGTGTAGAGAATATCCATGAAGTTGCTAAAGCTGTGGTTGTTTTGTTTGGTTTGATTTGGAGTTGATGGCAGGGAATTTGCAAGGTTTGTGAATATAAGAGATAAAAATGGAGCAACCCCATTGCACTTGGCAGCCCGACAAGGATGGCCGGAGTGTGTTCATATGTTGTTAGACAGTGGCACTCTTGTTTGTGCATCTACTAGGGGATATGGGTAAAACTCTCTTATTGAAGGTTTTCTAGTGTAATGTCATAGCACTCTTAATTTGTCATTAATATTTATAAGAGTCCTGTTTGCAGTTTCCCTGGGATTATATCACTTCATTTTGCAGTTCGTGGGGGTTCATTGGATTGTGTTCGGGAATTACTTGCTTGGGGGGCTGATAGACTTCATAGAGATTCATCTGGGTAAACTTTTTATTTTTAATTTTTAATTTTTTTAGTTTTTAATTTTTTTAGTTTTTCTTTCTTTCCTGACTTTAGAAAGAACTATATGATAATTGATGCAGACCAGATCCACTGACATACGGAGTAGGTGATTTCAAGGTCTTTGATGCTGAAATTAGTTTTGAGTACTCAATATGGAATTAATGTTATAGCAGTGTCTGAACCCCCTTGTTATTCCCTTTCTATGGAGTTGAATGTGCTACAATCTACGTATTTCTAGTGTGGTTAAACAATATTAGCCTTCATGCTCAATCATAACGAAAATCGAGAGTAATTGGTTCCTATTGAGATTGTTGACGATGACATGATGGCATTAAAGAATTTGGATTGAGGCTTTGACAAGTATGGTTTAACAAAAGATATGGTTGACACCTAAGAAGGAGCAACTTCAGTGGGCTTGTATAATGGTTGCTATTGCCAAATTATATGGTGGCTGCACCTAAGAAATCCTCTCTAGTGGCCTGCCAAAAGGTCTGTTAAAAACTTATATTGCCAAATCTTGTGCATCATTTGTGCCAACTCAACTTACCCAAGAGAGGGTTTTGATCCAATGGTCTGGATGTGAGACATCCATTGGACAAAATTAAGCAATGATCTAGATGTGCCAAAATGGCATTTGCACCATTGGAACAACATTGCTAAAAAAATGACATTTTGACATTTTCCTTTTGGCAATCACCACTGGAGTTCCACTGAACTTTTGACATAGTTGCACTTGAAAATTTTTTTTTGCTATTTTTCTGTTTTTAATACTTCCAATATTGTGGGAAGTTTGCTCTATTTGTATTTTAAATGAGTGGAGACATTAGCTTCGAATGTTTTGTGAATGAAACGATTGTTACCAGCTGATATCTTGGCAGGAGGATACCTTACATGGTTGTTTTGAGGCACAAGCATGCAGCATGTGCAGCATTATTGAACCTGTCAGCTCCAGATCCTCTCATATGGCCATCACCATTGAAGTTCATTACCGAGCTTAATCCAGAGGCAAAAGCATTGTTAGAGAGGGCACTAATGGAGACAAACAAGGAAAGGGAAAAAACCATCTTAAAGGCGATAGTCTACTCACTTCCACCGCCTCTGCATTCTGAAGCTGCGGCTAGTGACATTATGTATGAGGTAAATTGTTTTCCACTAAACCTGTAGTTTCTAGTTGACACACTGCATGACTGATCACTGATTCAGATGTAATCATCCTTTATCCAGGTTTTTTTTCTTTTAATTTCTGATTTGAATGTTGGATTTTAATGACTCCTCTTTACCAAAGCTTTCTATGCAAACAAGTACAACTACCTACAACTGCAATTGACAGTATTTTCTAACAGACTGATGATGAAGTTTTCTTACCTTGTAAATTTTCTTTGCAGGCAACAAATAGTGGACCTGGTTTTCTTTACCAAAGCTTACTCTTAATGGTATTGGGAAAGAGCCAGTCGCTAAGTGGTGGTGGTCCTGGGTGGAATAGATAGGAGCTAAAAAGGCGAGGTTTGAACATCCAAACTAAAATAAGAGTGCTGGGGTAAATACCATTGGGCTAAAAAGCCCTTGGCTAGGAGTAAACAATTGAGTAGTGAGGTTCCATGGTTAACAAGAAATATCTTTAAGTGACACTAGAATATTGTAACATTGTTTTGTTGCTTTGGAGATCACAAGGTCATGACATCGATGAACAAACACCCTATCCTTGGATGTTCTAATCAAATTACATAGTTCAATTTCTAGCATAACTACTAAGCACAAATTTTTCGAACTTGTATGTCCTTACATGCGTTAATGTGCTTCTTTCTTGTGCTTTAGCTGCATTGCTTTCAGGCACTCACTAAAATTAAAAGTTATACAGATCAGAAAAATAAATTAGAAGCAGAAAACCAAGGGCTGCTTCTGAATTTTGGTTCACAGCTTGATCAGAGCTTAAAAGGCTGCACAAGACCATCTTGGGGCCAGTTTCTCAACAACAGCAACAATGGGGATGCATGGAGGAACATGTCTCTTCATTTGTTGCTAGTAAATATGACGTATGAACTGAAAGCTGTTGTCTCTTTCATATGTTAAACTTGTTAGTTAATTTTGTTAGGCCACTCGGATACTAGAATCTAGGCCACTCGGATACTAGAATCTAGGAGTAATAAATTGACAGATATAAATACTTCGGGAGTGACAACCTTGAAGGATCTGTCTGATTCATTACAAATCTTTAAATGCAGGTTTTGGAGTTGGGGATGAATTTTTGAACTGCAGATGATATGAGTGCAATACTTGCTGGAAGAGAATGGGTTGCTGAATGTGGGTGAAGTTGCACCTGTCAGGCTTGCATCTTGAAGGGAAGGTAACAACTAGTATATTCTTATTTTTAGACTAGACTATGTATGCATGCTATATTTTGTCATTTGTATTATATGTTCGTAGCCTATAATGAATTTGAATATTATATGAACGTTGAAAACTGTATTAAGATATCTGTTAGACTTGTGGTTAACAAATTAGAATAATATAGTAGTCTTTATGCATAATGGAACTCCTTATCTTCCACGAGCAAACTAATGCCACAGTGCACTCATCCTTGTAATCTATACCTCTAATTAAGAGAATTCTTAAATCGGGCCACTGGTTGGTATTTGGTCACCATTGGGTAGGATGAAGAATATGGGTCTGCACCAACCCACAGATTGTGGCCTATAGACCCACCACCACTGCATCCTGCTGATATGGAGCAGTCCTGGTTGGAAGAAACAAGTAAAATGAGAGAGAGACTCTTACCCTCTAGTGTAAAATGGAGCAGTCCTGCTGATATGAAGTTTATTAAACCTTACCCTCTAGTGTTACTGCAACAACAAACAACAAAACTAAAAGGCTTCTTTTAATAGCTGTTTTGAAGGATTCAAGTGAAGAAAATGTTTAGGTTGTCTCTCCTTTTATAATTGTTTGGAGAGTAAGTTTTATTTTAACGATGCATATAAACTACGCTAGATGTACAAATTTCATTTTGGCTTTTTGCCAAAGAAGGAAATTGTAAAGGTTGAGAATAAAGAACACGGAAAAGCCAGTGCTGCAGCAAGTCTGGTATGTTCCCCTCCCCTTTCAGTCTATTTGCTGGTCCAAGTTTCTTTATTGCTGGATTATCACCATTTTTCCTTATAGGGTATGATTCTGCTTTGGGATGTTGATTCTGGACTTGCCCAACTTGACTAGTATTTCCACAGTAATGACAACCATGTCATAGCCGGTGCATTGTTGGGAGTTGGTATTGTGAACTGCGGTATCAAGAATGACTGTGATCGTGTGAGTTATACTTTGGCATTTTTCTGTACACAAGTCTGTGACTGTTATGTATTTGGAAATCCTAAATTTTCTTTTTTCAGGCATTGGCACTTCTTGCTGATTATATAGATACAGAGGATTCTTCTGTCAGAATCGGTGCAATAATGGGTCTGGGCCATGCTTATGCTGGTGCCCAAAATGAGCAGGTGAGGTTCCTTGCATTTTTAACTGGTGGTTTCTTGGTAGGCCATGGAAACAATACTATGTCTGATTCAAGAGGCACATCAGTGGAATCATTCTGTCTATTCTACCATAGATTGTTAATTTCATCACAGAAGTTACAGAATTCACACAAATAGAGAGGGAGAGATAAAATTTGATGAGTACTGGAAGATACCTTCCCTTCTCTTTGTACAACATGTTTAATTAAAGTTGATGTTGATTAATTTATAATTTTTCTCAGTTCCATAGTTAATTATCTTGTATCTGTGGAATGCAAAAACATCATTTGACTTGTTCCTCTACTTTCTTTGTTTGATATGTTTATTTCTCGTTGCAGCGGACTAATCTAAATCATTTGTCAGATCCGTAGTAAATTGACTCCTATCCTTGGAGATAACAAAGTGCCTCTTGATGTGATTGCGTTCACTGCTATTTCATTGGCCTTGGTATATGTTGGTTCCTGTAATGAAGAGGTTGCTCAGGCAATTATATTTGCATTAATGGACCGAAGTGAATCAGAATTGGGGGAGCCCCTCACTCGACTTTTGCCTCTTGGCCTTGGCCTTCTATACCTTGGGAAGCAGGTAACTAAAAAATGCAAGCTGTGGGGCGTTTTTTAATTTTTTTTTTCTATTTTATCACAGATTATTCTTTTTCAAATTGTGATAATTTAAAAAAAAAAAAATTTGGTGGTGCATTTGAAAATTATTATTTATTTATTGTTGATAACACCTTTTAGACTCTGGACTTGATTCTTATTTACATCATTCGTTTTTGTTGTGTTTTTTTTCTTTGGAATCCCATTGTGTCGTTTGACAGTAAAGTGTGGAGGCAACAGCAGAGGTTTCTAAGACATTTAATGAGAAAATTAGGAAATATTATGACATGACCCTACTTTCCTGTGCTTATGCTGGAACTGGGAATGTGCTCAAGGTGTTTACTCCAACCCCTTTAATTTAAATTGGAGTCGACTGTTATGTAGATGAAATAACTCACTCTACTGTTTATTTTCACATAGGTCCAACACCTTCTTGGTCAATGTGCCCAACATCTTGAGAAGGGAGAAGCCCATCAGGGACCAGCTATACTTGGAATTGCTATGGTAGCAATGGCTGAAGAATTGGGACTTGAAATGGCTATTCGCTTATTAGAGCATCTATTACAGTATGGAGAGCAGAATATCCGAAGGGCTGTTCCTTTGGCTCTTGGTCTTCTTGTATATCAAACCCTAAGGTAAATTATCCTCTGATATTTTCCAAGCTGAGCAACCTTGGAACTGGTGTTTGAATTGCAGTTGAGCTAATTTATGAATTGGATGTTCTGACCAGGTCAATGTTATGGATACATTAAACAGACTTAGTCACGATACAGATACAGAAGTAGCAATGGTATTCTCTCTTTCATATAATATATTAGGACTATAGTTAGTATTATCGATTCCTTGTTAGTTACAGCCTAAATCTTGACATATTTATCTGGATTCTACAGGCTGGCGTCATCTCCTTAGGGTTGATTGGTGCTGAAATCAACAACGCTAGAATAGCTGGCATGCTTTGCAATCTTTCGAGTTACTACTACAAAGAAGCTAGCCTCCTTTTTTGTGTAAGTTTCTCTTGGAATTTGTTCCACAGTGCATCTCAAATTTTCTTTCTTTCTTTTATTTTTATTTTTATTTTTTATTTTTTTAAGGGCTTCTGTTTTAATGATTTGTGTTGGCCACTTGTGCTGGTACGAATTGCCCAGGGTCTTGTACATTTGGGAAAAGGCTTGTTGACTCTTGCTCCATATCATTCTGAGCGCTTTTTGCTATCCCCGTAAGTGTTTCTTCTCCCCATATTAACTTTTCAATTTTAGGGTGTGGGTTAGAACTGATTCACATACATACATATCCAGCGGGAGATGAGCAAGTTTCAACAATGGGAGACTTCTTCCAAAGTGGTAGTTTTCACATCAGGACTGACCCATTAATTGGGATGTTTCTGTTGAATCTAAAGGTTTTTTGTTAGAATTTTGATGGCACCTAAGCTAGTCCATGTAGTTTAAACCTACCATTTCAAGTGGTTCATTCCGCTTTTAGTTAATATCTCGTATAC